GTCCACATGTTTGCTCCTTCCACACTCCCTGCCAGACAGTCCACATGTTTGCTCCTTCCACACTCCCTGCCAGACAGTCCACATTTTTGTTCCCCCCAGCTCCCTTCCTCTATGAATATACACAGGTCATCTAACATCAACCTGGACCAAATCCGGAGATCCTCCTTCATGCGGTTCCCTTATGTCAGATGTCACGGAATTAGTCAATACTCATGAATATTAATACAAACACAGACCCTGTCATAAGATGTGTCACCTGGCACTCTGGGGATTTCTTCATAAGCACTTGTGTCGCTTCCAGCCTTCCTTCCTGCAGATCTCTAGATGCCAGTACAGTCCTTCCTTGGCACCTTTATTTTACAGCCAGCGGAAGTTTGGAGAGCACTTAGGGAAGATTTCCGCAGTGATGCAGTCCCCAGCTCCTCAAACAGCACACGGGAAAACTCCTTAACTGCCAGTTTTTGTTTCTCTTTTATTCTTTTGTATTTTCCTTCAGCTGTTGGTATAAAAATATACATGTCTAAGCTGGACTGTTTTCCTTGTACTGTTTACAACTTTTTAACCTGTCTTTGCATGTGTTTCCTGCCTCTGAGCTGCTTCTGTGCTGCTAATTCTCATTTAGTAATGTTCATATTTAATGGTCCAATAACCAGTAGCAGGAAAACTTAATTAAATGCAATGTATGCTTTATCATTATCGCTCACCTATACACATAGAAATTTGTTCAATATGGTCAGGGTTGTCAACTTTGGTCAATTTGTTGGCATGAGATTTTCAATTGGAGACAAGTCTGCATGCACATTTACATGTAAGGGTTTTATTACTTTGTAAATAGTCTGTAGGGTTTGCAAACTACCCCAACACTTTTGATACAGCAAAGTTTAGGTTTATAGTTGAAGGATATAGATTAGCTGAAAGACTTCTTGCATGAGTGTGAGTGTCATGCCAGATTCGTTAGAACTGGAAACCCAGTATGGTTAAGTATTGTCACCCATCAAATGTCCATTAGCATGACTTTTATATTAATTATATAATTTACAAGTGTGACCTTCTGGTTGTAAATGGGGACAGAAATTTCATCAAATTTGATTCCGAGTCACATCAAATGTGGATTTTCTACCTTTCTGTTTGAACTATGTCTAATCGTGGTGCAAATACAGGAAATTAGTTTTTTGTTAATCTCTTATACCAATACGCAGAAAAAGCCATGAATAAATATTACGTACTACAGAATCGGTCAATTCCCCTCTGGAACGCGACAGTGTGATTAAAGAATTTGTTAAATTGTGTTTTTTAAGTTTGAAGTAGCAGGTCTACCTCCACTCCGCAGAATTAAGCAACAAAATAGATTTATGGATAGAATCGTAATTACTAGTAGGCTCTAGGATGCCTCGATAACTGTTTTTGCCAAAAAAAAAAACACGGCTCGTTAAGCGTGCAACAGAAACGTGAGCACACGTGTTTTCATCCAGGTTCATACGACCTCTTTGTTCACCTTCCTCAGACACACGTGAGCTTCGATCTCCTCTGCGAAGTCGCTACTACTTTAAACATATTCTTCTTCACATATAAGCAAATCATAAATGTGCGTTGAGTTATAGTTAAATGCGTGGAATTATGGTCAGTGTTAAATTATCAACGTTGAAACTGAATTGATTTTTGGTCAGATTTTCAATATTGAAAAATTGATGTTGGCGAAACCTTGATTCAGTGTTGATATCAAGTGAAACACTGAAGATCAACGTTGTTTCAACTCTTTCGTCTGATATGGAATCAATGTCATTTCTACATGTGTGCTATCTGGGTACTAAAATGAAATGATGTCCGGCGCACAGAAAGATCCAGTTAAGAATGTTGCCCATTTCTAGAAATCTGACAGAATTATTTGCGGTGTTATGTGTTTTTTTCACTACAGGTGTATTTCTGAAGATGGTCCTTCAGGATCGTTGCCCGATTTATTGCTTCATTTTTGAGTCAGTCTTGCATAGCCTACAACCACATGTATTTTTTTAAATCGCATTAATGGTTGATTCTGTTTATTCATCTTTACAGGTGAACAATTTTTTATTCAGTTTTTTTTTTCTGAAAAAAAAAGTCCTGTACAGACTATACATCCTACTACCGCATGAAGTCTAGATTTTGATTGTTTTGAAAACTCTGAGTATCCTGTGTCAAAAAAAAACAAACAAAAAAAAAAAACAGAAAATGTATATATTGGCTACTTAACAAATGTATAAAGCGGATAAACCACCATGGAAAGACATTCAGGATGTCAAATTCAGTTTCCTTTTTGGGAAACGATGATTCAGTCTCCGTTAATTGATCCGTTAATTCTAATAGATTCACTAGTTAACAATATAACTAGTTGAAATGCATTACAAACAACACATATTTTCTTTATATGTAAATCATGTAACAAGGTCTTTCCTGCCAGCATTGGTATATTAAAGAGTTACATGAGTATTTACATAAAGTGACACAGCCTAGTGTAAATGAAGCATTCACAGAAAACGCAGCCGTAGCCAAGAGTCTCGATCCTGTACGTTTCACTTGTTTAATCTTTGCCACTCATACTGACCAAAAATAAACAGCATTAACTTTGTAGTCTGTCATTCGCAGTTACAATAACTGGTCATTTGAAAAATATGTGTCAAGATGTTTGAGGTTTACAGTTTCTTCCAACATCGCCAAAAAGGTGGAACATTTATAAAACAACCAAATTGATGGAAAAATTAAAATACAAAACGGGTAACGCTTGCGGCTGACTTCTTAATGATATCGATCCTCCGCGACAGTCATTTTGAATCGGACAAGCTCCTGAAACTCATCTGGATGGAGCTGACCTGCGTGGAGTCCTCAGCTATGGCGACCTTGAAGCTGGATGGAGTCCTGCAGAGTAGGGCCAGTAGACTACTGGGCAGATGACCACTGAATAGCAAGTAGATGCACGGGTTTGCGCAGCTATTTAAACTGGCAAGCAACATCAGGATGGTGAAGGTAGCCGCTGAAATCGACAGGAGATTTAATTTACCCACAAGACCAAGCTAGATACACGTATTAAGCAGATGTGACAAAAGCGGGAACTGAAGAGTGTGTTCATCGTCTATTTATTTGGGCTGTTAAAACTTTAAATTTTTAGTGTAAGTATCAAGGTTTTCAGCCACAAAATTTAACGACTTGAAAATTATTTAACGAGCATCATCATCATCATTATTACTGTTGTTATGATTACTATTTGTTCAAACTATATAGGTCTACAGAACGTGTTACATGTGAGTAAAACTAGGCTATCTGTGTGGACGCTAATATGCTTACGTTTTATAACATTCAGAAGAGACATGCTAGTGCTTACATTCAGTGGGGGCGTTGACGTCCCAGACAGACCACAGCTGGACCGTGAAGAATGGAGCCCAGCAAATGATGTAGGTGAGCACAATCACCACGGTCATTTTCACGGTCTTGATTCTGGCCTTGGATAAACCCGTGACACTGCTGGTTCTGGAGGGCAGTGGATGTGCGACGGGCACCTGTCTCTGCTGGTGCGTTTTGTTGTGCAGGTTGATGTGAACCGCTCGACAGATGTGCACCTGGCACACGACCACAATGAAAATAGGCAGGACAAAAATGACCAGGGTCGTCCAGGTCACGTAGGTCTTTAAACCCCAAGGGTTAATGAAGTCAGCCCAGCAGTCGAAAACTCCAGGAGCCACTTGGACCTTCGAAAAGATAAAAATTTGGGGGACACCTCCGATTAAGGATATGACCCATGCAACACACACGGGAAGGTTCAAGCGTGCACGCCGTCTTTGAAATGTGACCATAGGGTTGCAGATGGCTTGGTAGCGGTCAATAGTCATGACGACTATCATGTAAGTGGAAGCGAACATACCGACGACCTGCAGGTATTTGACGAATCTACACACTAGGTCGGTTCCGACGAACCTGTCTGTTATGTCCCACATCAGCTGGGGGCAGACTTGGAAGAAAGCTACCACTAGATCAGCCAGGCAGAGGTGGAGCACAAAGACTCGCATCCGTGACTGTTGTTTTCGGCGTCTCCAAAGTGTGACAAACAGCGCAGTGTTTAGGACAGCGGCAGAGATAAAGATAGTGCCCAGAAGTGCGATTTCCATCCGGGCCAAGCTCTCGTTTCGCGGCTGGTCTCCGGATAATTCCATCCGAAAACTGACATTACTCACGTCGGGTGAAAATGTGCTCATGGCTTCTTTCAATTTAAGCGTTTACGTAGGGTACTTAAGGTGTTACTCCTGGTTGCATGTGATTTTGATGCCTGTCTGGTCTGAAAGAATAAAAAATAAAAGTTTAATTAGAACTAGATCATTGCCTGTAAATATTTGCATTAAATCAGACTAGTTTCAACATATTTCACGGTCGAATAAACTTAAACTCTTATTTTTGCATCTAACAAAAACAGAAAAGGCACTTACCGGACCAGTGTGAAATAATGGGCGTTAAATTTGAAATACACCCTGTTGAACATGAAAGAAAGGCTTTTATGAAGACTGCGCACCTGAGGATGGTTGGTTTTTATTTCTGCATCCAGTGGGGAGGAGCTGTCCGTCAGCACCTGGTTACTTAAGCGATTCCCGTTTTTTCCCCACAATCGTTAAAAGCAGGGAACAGACCTACAATTTTCAGAACGAAGTACGAATTAATATATAGCCTAATAGATCATTCTAGCTCGTTAGTTTAGAACATGCAATACGAACCTGAGTATTGCCCTTATACTTGGAGCTCAGTGTGCCTGATTGT